ATTTTGTATCTGGTGGTTGCGCTTGCCATAGTTAGTATTTTTTTTTTTAGTTTTTTCGTCACATTTTGTCACTGTCACAGCAATGTTGGCAATGTCAGCCAACTGTAACAATGGCTATAATGCTTCTGATGAAGGAGTTTTTTTCTAAATATTTTCGTGGTAGTTTACTGATGTTGCGTGTGATTTGGAAAGTACAGGAGGCACATATTCGCTTGAGTTATTGTTTAGTTTTATTAAAATATGTATGTATGTATATGCTCTAATTTTTTTTTTTTTAAATATAGTTTATCCAACCGGAAAAACTAGCAATTTTTTTTATATCATATAAATCTAGGGAAAGCTCAATAAATACCAAAAAAAAAATTAACAAAATTGTTAACTTTTAAATTCGACTTCTTAGAAAAATTTTGGGTGTGCAGTTATGTAGCCCATTAATTTTGGTATAATAAGGTGCTAAAAACTACGGTTGATTTTGGAGAACTTGAAAGTGATAAACAGTAGTACAAAAGAAAAAATATTAAATTATTCTTCCTTTTACATTATTTTCCCCTAAATTTCTTTCCTCCGCCTTGTTTTCCTTTCCATACTTATCCCTTTCTTTGCTGTTTCCCTCTCTTTTCCTTTTCTTTAATTTTCTTTTCTTTGCGATCCTTTTATTTAACTTATTTTATGGTTTTTATTGTAAGCGCATAATTTTATTTCTCTTTTATTTCTAGCATTTTGTGTGATATCTACGGTGACCAGATTTCGGTGGACAAAAATCGGCGCATTTGTAATGCTTCAAATCCGAACATACAATTATGTTTTTAGAATAGAAGGACAGTTTTTTAGAATAGAATACTGTTTTATTTAAAACAAAACGAAGAGAAATAAACTTGAAAAATTATCGCAAAATCTAATTAAAAAACTCAACATTTTGATGAAACTTTGTCGAACTTCGCTAATTTTTGTGCAACGTTTGAAATTTTTAATTGCTTTGGTAAATAACGTCTTTGATAAATAACGAGCCACACTTTCATAAAAAATAATAAACATTAAATATTTATTTGTTTTGCCACTGTATCTACAGCTTATATTTTTCATATCCATGAATTTTTTGAGGAAATTAGTATCTATTATTTTTTTATAAATTCAATAAATCCAAGTTAGAACCATTTCATGAAGAGAGTACCAGTTTGACAGAATAAAACATAACCAAAGATGATTGAAAGTAAGGATGCTGGGTATGTTTATGCTGCCAAGTTTGTAAGGAAAATTTGTTTTTGGGTCAGACTACAGGGAGACTCTTTTTAAATTAATAAAGAAAACACTGAAAATCGGGACACTTATACATCCCGACTTTTAAAAAGTATTCAGCGGGACAATTTTCTCAAAATCGGTGCTGTCCCGCCAAAATCGGTACGAATGGTCACCGTAGTGATATCATAAGCTTCTCATTTGCGTACACCACTGCGTATGAGTAACCACAGAGCAAAATCGCATTTGGAATGTACTGTACCACTTTCGAATACAGAAAGAGAACACTTGTACACAATGTCGAATGATTTGCACCAAAAGTAAAAACATTATCTATTTTCATTCATATAAGCTACAAATGTTGCTGACAAACACTCTTGCGAGTACATACTACATACATATATCTTATCAGTAAAAATTGGCTTACTTTTGCAGAATTTCTTTTTTCGCACACATCTAATTAACTGCTTTATTGTGGAAACGTGCGAGGGCGATAACAATGATTTAAATAACATAAATACATATATGTACATACATACATAATATGCATGTATGTTTATGGTATAAATGAATTAAACTTTTTAATTTTGGAGAATCGAAAGTAGGTAAAAATCCCCTTTTATTGTTATAATCTTACACGTGTATATACTAATTTTTCACTATCAGCTATTTATGGTTCTCAAAGTATTTGGTGAAAATTTTGTTTTAAAAATAATGACAATTCCTTACACAAGTTCAGTTGCAATGGGATGATATATGTATGTACATAAGTATGTAATCCTTCATATCCCCTAAAAAGCAATGTCGATAAATAGACTGCTGATGTGGTCAGCATTATTTCTAATTCTAGGTTCCGTGTAATTAGTTCAAAATTTTCTGAAGGTAAGATAACCTAGGAGTCATCCTTACCAAGAGTGAGAAAAGACAGCTTCTAAATAGTTAAGTATGTATGTATGTATGTATGTATGAATGTATGTATGTAGATTAGGGTACATCACGCTCCATACAAAAAAAAA